GCCCCGAAAAACCTTCCCCCTTTGCTCCCGCAGCCATCCCAAAACAACCCCGCTGCTGGAATAGGGTAATGATAACCTTGAAGGCGAGGCACTTCACAAGAGTGAGGCTAAGTTGATGGTCTACCTGTGCGAAGTGGGAGGGGGCAGAGCTACCCTGGTTGAGAGGACCCCGTGACTTGCCCAAGGGCACACGGGGAGTTTAGGAAAAAAAGCGAAAATACAACCTAGGCTGCTGAACTCCCCTTTCATGGGGTCCCTTTTGTCACAGCTTCTCTGACCCTTTGCTGTTTTCTGTGGATTAGGTGGGGGCTATGGAGTAAAATTTGACCCTTCTTAGGGTTACATGGAAAGAAGTGGGCCTGAGGGATGAAAAGGGGGTACCTATAACCCCCAAAGCTGCACTCCACAGGAAGGGCTGTTTCCAATTATCCTGGGGGAAGGGAGGAGCTGCCTTCTTGGGTGTAAGAAGCAAGGCTTTCAGCACCTCCCGGCAGGGGCGGCATTCCTCTCCTTCCTGCCCAATCCTCACAGGCAGCTCCTTTCCTCTGACTGAGGTCCCCACCAAGGCCCCGTTGACAGCATCTCTTCAAAGACTCCCATCTGGGTGTTTGACAAGGTGTGTGAGGAGGGGGGGTTGAGAGGACAGATGGAGAAGCACGAACAGCACCGCTGCTGAAGGAGGGAGCAAGCCCCTTGCCCTGGCGCTGCATTCTAGAGACCAACATAAAGAACTGTTTCTCCGATTACTCCTCCCGTGTGTCCTTGACTCTGCCTACTGGGGTGCAGGGGAGCACAGTGTTCTTGCACCCTTCCCCTCTGCAGTTGGATGAAGGTAAACAGTGCGGTGTGTGTGCAGCCATCAGCGCTGACTTGTCTGTCACTGTCTGCTTAGTCTCACACAGTCACACTCAACAGTCTGCCACTGAGCTCCTGACACCCCTGTTTAGGCCAACTCACCCTGACCCCTAATGCAGCCACCACAGGAGTGAGATTTCAAACAGGTTTGCTCCTCAGTTTACCAAGTTGCCTAGCAACCATCTAGTCAATGGCATGAGGCCCCACCCCCACCTGCTTGACTTCACACCATGCTCAGTACCTCATTGGCTCCTGCCTGGTCCCACCTCTCAACCCCTGGTTTTGGGAACAATATGCCAGACCCCACAGATGCTGGACAAAGGAATCTACTAATACCCCCACCAAGCTCCTACCAGTCACGTGCCACCCCAAACAGACACAATGACTCCAGTATTATACAAAATCTTTATATTAACTCATCCCCACAGCCCTCTGTCCTTCCTTGTCCCTTCTCATCTTGGTGGTCATTAGGGCTGCTGGGGCCTGGTCCCCCTCCACACCACCAGAGC